GTCGGGAACGTATGGCTCGCGAGCCAGGTGTGGCTGTTTTGATGATTGCATCAGGCTCTCTCAGATAAAATTGGAGTGGGAAACTTCAGATTTTGTGATTTTGGTTTCTTTAAGAATGACTCCAGAGGCTTATAATACTCACATTTACTTGAATTCAATCTTGAGCCATATTTTATGGCCCTCACTGAAATACATTTCCAAATATTTGCTTTCTTGGCTCTCTGCGTCAAAAAGGTTCCCGGCCTCTGAATTAGGTCAAACCTGGGGGACCGGGACGTCAGAGAAAAGAATCATTGGCGCAGCTGCTACAAGTCCTCTTTTCACACAAAGCCCGCCTGTTTTGATTTTCCTTAAGCTCTTACCGCTCTTACCATCTTGCTAATATCTAGACGAGCACAAGGAAGAAGAGGGCGAAGGGGATAGTGAGGACGCTGGTGAAGACGAGGATATTCACTTCCCCATGGAGTTGGACAATGTTGGGAGTGAGGGCGAGGCGGACGAGGGTCTGACGGATGAGCAGATGATGGCACAAGACGAGGCCCTCGCAGCTGCTTTCAGGGCCGCTCGCGCGCCGAAATTGGAGGCCAAGTCCAGGAAGGAGACGCTATCGCTACTCAAATTGAGGTAACCCAGCACTGTTTTAAAGCCAAATTCTCCAAAAATTGCTGGAATTCTTTCTGCTTTGAGTCTCCATAATGCTAGCGGAAAGAAAAAAGCTGCGTCATTGTAGCTCCCTTTGGCTGCCCATGGCTCTCTTCGACGACGTCTGACCACTAATAAACAAAACATAGCTCACTCCCCCCTCTGATGCGGTCAACACCCATCCGGGAATTGTCTGCTGCTAAGTCCCAATCCCAAAAAAACTTGTTTTCCGACTAGTCTGGGATTTCTGTGAATGTCATTGTGTCTGATGACATTATTAGAGAACTTTTTCTCAGAATAACAACAGGGTTGGTGGTTATCTTTTGCACTCCATAAGTATTTTGTACGTAAGGATGCCTGGATTAGTCGGTGCTAGTTTCCTACTCATTATACCATTTGGAGATCTGGATACATGCTTAGGAAGGGGCTGCTGACATGAGTACCGAAAATGAGAAAAGAGACTGGAATGACCATTTCTGTCTTATTGGCCCTCATCAGCCAGACAGCCATACCTGACTCCTGATTTGAGACGGCTCGGATTCGAACCCCGGATCTTCACTCATGAAGTCGAATGCATCGGCAAGTTAGTTACGGGCTCGTTTTACTGTCAGGAATATTGAATATGTTTGAAGTGCGTTAATTGATCTAGTTGCGGGCTCTGCTGGTCTCATTACATCCAGTGGCCCTGAAGGTTTTTCCACACGCAGCGTGTGCTACCGCTTTCATTGAATTTGCCCGTTACATCCATATATATTTTGCCATTTCATCAGATCCTTCGATTTCCTCGAGTCTCTCATTCTCTACTCTCGGGACGCAAACCTATTTTTGGTGAGTTTAAATAACACTTTTACCTGAATTCCTGCCTTAAACTGTTACTATTTCATGTATTAACTCGAAGGTTGTTGATGCAGACCTCGTATACCCAGGAGAAGCCCGATTTCAGTGATGGCATTTGATATAGTCGGTTATTTCAGTAGATAGCAGTTACCTGCTGATACCTACACTATGGAAATCCGAAATCCATTAAACGTACGCTCTGGCGGATTCGAACTGCTCTGCTCTAGAATTTGCGTCTAACTTTACTTACCCCCTGGGTTTGTTTATCTGTTTGAAATCGTCTTTGAAGTGCTTTGGTTCATTTTAATGAACCCAATAGAAACTAATAGGAGCATGATCTATTTACTGGTTCATAGTCTCCATACCACAGGACCGTCATCGAATGTTACCGTATTTTGAAGGTGGTAGGCATACCCACTCTCCACCTTGCACGTCCTGATAGCACTTCCGATGCCGGTCCACGATAGAGGAAATCTTCAGCCGTGTGTGATCTGGGCACATTAGATAATTAGTATGTAATGCTTCAATTTACGGCAGTGGCCTGGAAAGAGTTCAAACGATTCAGTTTTGCCTCTGGCTGATGAATCACCACATTTATTCGTAGTATTTTGACTGGTTTACATTTATTTTACGGTCTACTACCAACGCTGACTTAATAAACTCGTGGCTCCACAACATTACAGAGTGCGGCGCCCTTTGAATAAGGAGCTATATCCATCACGCCAATGCTCCAATCATAGAGTTCAGCGTTCTTCCAAGACAGGTCCTTGCCGTATCCATTAATTGCCTTGTCTAACCTCAGCGGCTGCGGTGGCAAAAATTGATTACCTTGTGGATGGTTACGTTCTGAGGTTGGCAGTTTGCGTAGCTAACCCATTTAACGCTGTTAGTACGACTTGGAGTTGTTTCCATCAGATGGCACGCGATGTAGTAAGTCATTTAGGAAATCTACTTACACAACTGTTACTAAAACCTTATTAATTGAGAGTTGGCAATAGTTGGTACACGGAAGTAGACTTGTCGCATTTCAGAGAGGCCTCCTGAAATTCGGCGGTATTGGTCCGAGGCATAGTGCCGAGACACGGACAAACCTCCCCTAGGTGTATGAACTCGGGCAAAAGTTGGCCAACGTTGACAACGCCACACAGTACAGGGCCCATGTGGTGGTTGTTATCGTGGATTCGAAGGTGTCACACCGGGTTATTATCGACCTTGCATATGTGATTACATTAAGGATCCATAACAGAGAAAAAGAGAAAGAGTCAGGCTTCGATAGCGTTGTTCTTTGGTATTTTAGTCGCCTCTTCTGCTTGCTTCTCCATGGCCAGTGGCTTAAAAAAGTACGCGTTCATTCTTTGCAGCAGCTGGCAGATATTTTCTGAGTTTATTCAGAGACACTTAAATGAAACGTTCAAGGTGTCAGTAGCGATTTATATCTGGCAAGGATAAAATTGTTGCTCGTGCACATTTCCTGTATTTTTTCCAATTCGTCTAATAATTTGCGAATTTTGCGTTGCTCGTCCCCCTTCCTCGTCACCGCTTCAACGACCTTTGCCCGCTCTGCGCGCAGTGCTGCATTTTGCCGTTGGCAGGTAGTATTGCCGACAAAGACCAGGGGGACTAGAATGGCCATTTCTCGTCATCATCAACGAGTATTTATATCCCCTGACCTAAATCGGCGAGACAACGAGCTCGTGGTTCAATGGTTAGAGCGTTCGAGTCTGATTAAAAAATACCGCGAGTTCGGGGTTCGGATGGGACGCCACTTGGGTCTGGGTATGACTGGCTGACGACGGCTAATAAGCCAGAAACGACCATTCCAGTCTCCCTAGTCTTTACTGGCAATACTATCGGCCTATACTACCAGCTGATATGGCTTTCAGGGCCTCTGTCGAGACACAAGGCGGAGCGGGACAGATGAGTTCCGTTAGTAGTCAGGTGAACGTTCATCAATGAGTATGAAACTGTTGCTTGAGCACATTTCCTTTCTTTTTTTTCAAATTCCCCCAATAATTTACGGATTTTGCTTTGCTCCCCTCCCCCTTCCCTCACCGTCACTTCGACCACCCTAGCCCGCTCTGCGCGCAGTCCTCCATTTTGCCGTGGCCTCAGCCAACAGACAGTCCCGTGCTGTTGACAGCGGTCAGCCATCGGCAGCGACGCCTGCCCTCCCGAAGTCGGCGGACCTCGTTTCTGCGCCCCGAATCTACTCTTCCCTGAAGGAGCTGAAGAACAGGCCGGTGGAGATGAATGAGGCTCTAGCCGTCTCGTTGGCCAGTGC